AGTGAAGAAATTGAAAAATAAGAAATCTCCTTTCTTTGACAAAATAAGAAACGGAATGATCAAAGCGAGCCTTGAATCGCTTATGCCTGTTTACATCAAACTTTTTAAACTCATTTTACGGTCTGGAAAAATACCAGATATTTGGTGTCAGGGCCTTATAAGCCCATTCTACAAATCGGGTGACAAGAGTGACCCAACAAACTATAGAGGCATATGTGTATCTAGTTTCCAGTAATAGTAGTAGTAGAAGTAGTAGTAGTAGTAGTATTTGTAGTAGTAGTAATCAATAAACAAACAAACAAACAAACAAAAAGTTAGTCATACCCCTCCAGACATCGCAGACATTTCAAAGAACTTTGACAAAATCCGGTAGCCGTCGGGGTGGCTTATTTCTTTATCGGTGATTATATTACCCAAAGCGTTGTAAACTCTGTGGCCTAAGTTCGCGGAAATGACAGTTTGAAGGTATCCCTCTAAATAAAACCTTGTGAAGGGATTTATGAGATCACCAATTAGCTTGCACTTGCTTGACGCATTTAACAGAGCGTATCCATACGGGCTAACTTTCAACTTCCATACGTATTTCATCATGCCAAGTTCCACTTTCCTCTTGAGGTTGCAACCACCGTTACTCCATTGGGGAAGAGAGACACTGCATTGCCGAGACAATCCAAGCCTTAAAAAGAAAGGATAATTTGCGTGACTATAACCTTTACAGTAATGCAAAAGCTTATACAATTATTCTAAGTTGTATTCGAAAATCAAATTACATTGATAACAGTTCGTCTTAAAAATAGAACCAAGATGTAATAAATCTAATTAATTATAAATTACGAACACAATTAGAAGAGTTCATTAATTCTGTGGTCTGTTGATTGACAGGTAACTGCCTAATATCTGGAATCAAAGTCTGTATTTAACTGTAAAAAGTATACCTTATTAATGAGTATTTGGAACAGTGGAAATGATCTGATAAATTAGATCCACAAACTTGGCAGAGTCAATAATCTCTAGAGATTTGGTTGTATCTGCCAAGTTCAGTAATAAGTTTTTGATTGCTTCTGCGTGGTTCAGTTAAGACTCTTCTTTCAGATGTTCTTGTAGGTAGGTCTAGATAATATAATATGGTGGAGCATATTCGATTTTAAAAATTATAAAAAATCCCAGTTTTTGAGAATGGTGAAGGGTTTGTTGCCATTATGAAATATATTTCTGTTTCATTAAACTTACGAAGTGTCTAAGTGACTAAGATTAAAGTATTCGGGCATCTCCATAAGCCTAGAGCGAAAGCTATTTTTACCAGAGGCGTGAAGATCTAATGACATCAAGAAGACTGTTTAACAATGTATTCTTCGTTTTTACTTTGTAGATATAGAATGTCTAGGTATCGTTTGCAAAACTGTAGCTGCGCTTTTTTCAATTTGTGAGTTATCCCAAGCCTTAAATTTAGACTTAGTATATACACCCCAGATTTCACTATTGTAAGTCAGAATCGGGGAGATCATTGCATCAAAATTTTAAGAGCAAGATGTGGTTTGAGCTTGCTACAATCCGTGTATCGTCTTTGACTTTCTCGTTGTGTAAAAACATGGTTTGCTGTACAATTTTATTGGTAGAAAGCCAATCTGAGATTTGTGAAGTAATTTACGAGAAACGACATGCTCTAGAAGTCTTTGGTATAGGATAGAGCAAAAGAGTTTTCCCATACAGCTTGAAACACATCTACCACGGTAATTTGACGGGTCACTTCTTCCACGTACCTGATTTATATATATTTACGCTCTTGTTCCCGTAATTCATCACAAATGAACTGTTGAGTGGGATTAGGCGGTGGGTTGGAATGAACAGACTGGAAATACGACAGCCAATTTTCTTCCGAGACTACAGGAGCATGTTTTGCTTTCATAGTGTCATCCATTGACTCAAGACATTTCCAAAACTTTGTCATATCTGTATTTTCTGCAGAATCTTCCAACTGAAGAATTTTGGAATTGTACTATTCGTTCTTTTCAGAGTGGAGCAATGTTTTGTATTGTGTCAGAACGGCGTGGTACTCCTCACGTAAAATGAGATCCAAGGGATCTCTGTGTTTTTGGTTCGATAATTTTCTTAATTTGTGTCTTTCAAAGCGACATTCCCCATCAAACCATTTCTTATTTGAAGATGCCTTGGAACGCTTTTGTTTTAAGTCAATTTAATTTTTCAACGTTGTTTACCGGTTGTGATGAGAATATTTCTACTTTTTCAAGCGAAGTGTTCACGTCCTGAATTTGTGTTCTGTCGCTTACGTACTCCTGTATTAGAGTTTGGAGGACTGGAGAACGTCTGCAATCTTTGAATTATTGTGTGGAATCATTTTCCCAAACAAATGCTTTGATTATCGCATAATTACACGAACAAAGTCCGTGCCCTATAAACAAAATGGGCATGCCTTTATAACGAAAATCATGACATGCTCATAGTAAAATTAAAATTATTAACTGTTTTACTTACCATTCAGCCACGTTTTGGATCCTTTCCAAGTCTTTAACTGATATAGCCATCATCGATACGTTCTTGACCGCGCGACGCTTATCGTCTTGGCCAGACGACAAACTAGGAAAAAATTAATGAAAAAATCTTGTATTATACTCTTTTTTTATAAGAAACTTTCTTATTAGAACGGAAAGGCTGAGTTTAAGAACGTATTGAGAACATTCCTTAGGCTGAGGGTCGATTAAGAACGTTATTTTGCTCATCTGTATATTAAATGACAAGCATAATTAAAATCAAGGTAACCAAAAAAGGAAGCTCACCGAAGTACTCAAGGGCACGTTTTGTATAACACTAACAGTGGTTTTCTTACTTCATGAGGCACATCTCTCGGTTTGTAATAATCAGCGGTTCTTATTTATAACTGTTCCAAAATAACTGAAATCCACACCATTAAAGTCATCAGGTGATACAGAGTATTATGAAGGTAGTTGGTCACATCCACATAGATTTATTAAATAATGCATACCATGCAAATTTAAGAACATCTTAGGAACATTTTCAGCCTCAAATCGCAAAAAAAGAACGTTCAGCCTAAGCTCCAAAAGTAGACATTCTTATAAAAAAAAAAAAGAGTATATGAGAGTATCAAAATTGTGGTAAGATGAGATTTGAGCTGTGGCGCACGAGGCGGGAAACAGAAAGAAATGAAAACAATAAATAAATAAAGTAAATAAAATGAAATAAATTCACGTCGTGCCTAGCCAGGCTTGATGTGTTACTTACCATTTAGCTACTTTTTTAATCAATTCCAAGTCTTTATGTAATATGGCCTTGAGCATGAGACAGCCAGGGCGGAGATCAAAAGTAGACAAACTAGGAAAAAAATTAATGAAAAAGATCTTATATTATACTCTTTTTTATAGGAACCTTTTTTATTAGAACGGAAAGGCTGAGATTAACCAAACTTTTAAGAACGTATT